TATTCGTTTATCACATTAATAAATAAAAAATCAGTGATAAATATAGCACATGATTATTTGATAATCTGCATAATTCCTGTAAAAAAAAAGTGTCCGAATAATTTTGATCGGCACCCGTATATCTATCTAATCGAGTGTTAATTGTAATATTATTTATATTATTGGCAAAGTATTTTTAATTGGTATGTTTGAATTTTTTTTTATTTTATAAAATTCATTTATTTATATTAAATATTTGCATAAAAATTAAGTTTATAAATTTATTGTATTATAGGTTTCATTGATACATAATACAAGAAGAAAGATATGATTATCGTTACGAAATTATTCTCTCGTCGAACACACACTTACATCAATAGATCAATATAATTGACATTATTTGAATTTATAATAGTATTATATAACAAATATTATAAGTTCACAAATTCGCCAATCACATATACATACTTCTTTATGTTTGGATGATCTAATTGATATTGTCGTCTTGATTCGGTTAGTTCAAATAATCATTGGACATGGCCATTCAAGATTTTTGTTATCCTAAAAAGGGCCAAAATAATTCAGTCGTTGCGCCTAACCGGAAATTAAAAACGAAATGATAGGACGTCTGCCTAAAAAAAAAAAAAAATAAAAGAAAATAAATCTATGAATCCAATCCGAAAATAAAATAATTAATAAATAAAAATACCTAATTAATGCATTTAATTCTTAAAGAAATCGTCTAAAGAAGTTAAAAGGAATAAAATCTTCGTCACGATTAGTTTAAATAAATTTCTTAACGTACCTTATTTTTAAAAAACAATCTATTATGTCATACATATCTTCTCAGTCCCCTAATCTCCTGCTGAAACATAGGAAGGTATCGACATACATATTCATCGACATATTTTGTAAAAAATTTATTTCTTGGATTACTAGGCGTGAGCATATTATAACATCGGAGAATCGTTAAGTAGAACGAGTTTTCTTCTATAAAAACGATTAATTAGTTGATTTTTATGTTAAAAAAAAAAAAAATAAAATGTCATGGATGGATAGTTCGCTTTACCTCAAAATTTCGTCTCGTAACATTTAATTTACAAATTTAATACAGGATAGCATCGTTAACGTTAAGTAACTTTCAAGATGAATGATCTGTCAAAAATTTATTCATGCATAAGTAACAGTTTGACTTATAAATTTCTTTAAAAAAAAATATTCAAAAAGCTTTACTTGAAAAAATTATATTTCATACCGTGATTACCTTCTTTACTATGGATTTTTTTGTTAAATTTTTTATAATTGTGAAAATGTCTTTTGCCGTTTTAACTTGACTGCGTGTTAAAAGTTGGACTTCATTAAACTCTAACTCTAACTGCATTGCTTAAATTCTCGTTATCTATATAGATTCAAGGTGTTTCAAATATGTTGATGCATTCTTTCTCAAAAAATTATGATGTGAGAAATAATTCGTTTTTGCTAATCAAACTTTTCAAATGAAATGAACGATATTGTTTAACACGCTCTTTTTGGGGGAGTTGATCTTCTGGTTTAGGCGCAATCCTCTTACTATTAATGTAATAAATAATATCTTTAAAGTCGATATTGAACGAATCAACCAGAAATTTTAGTCGTACACAATTAATAACCACATAAAGAATATATCACCTTCCATTCCAGAAAGTTACTGCCTTTTTTGGTTGTCGTTGTAGTAACCATTGTAGTTTCAAAGATTTTAGTATTTTTAACAAAATATTATGGGAAAGAATAAACTCATTAAGTATTATTTTCCCAACAATCAGGTATGTTGCACAAACTTTTATTCATATATGGCACAATTTGTTCTAATTTTCGTAGTTGATGGGGAATCACTTTTGTTAGCAATACATATGTAACAAGTTCAAGGCGTGATCGAAAAAGCTTGTAAAGAAAATCCCGTTTTATAACCTTCCAATGTCCTTCCACAAACATTGTTGTTTTAAGAATAGATATCTTTTCTTCACACACAGATCTTGCCCATAAAGGTCATTCGCTCCACAAATAGTTCAAAAGGTAATTAATGAATTTTTTTTACAAAATTCATATATTTCTTGAGCAGCATCACGAATTTCTATACGCGTAAGATATAAACCATTAGATGTTGGTAATAATGTATGTTGATGGAGATGTTTTTCCATTATTGTCCAAATTGTTTGAAGATATTCTTTAGGACAAAATGTATTAGATGGTATAATTCCATTAAAAGGAAAGCGTGAGTCAAATTCAGATAAGGGATTAAATGTAGCATTTCTAGGCATTTTGTTACTTGATAATCGTTTTAAAATTGCTCTATTCATATGCCATTTAAATAATTGTATTTTTATTTCAGGTAAATCGAGCAGCATTTATTTGTGCGAAATCCTTATCTGTAAGGATGAATTCTGGTTGTATGCCCATATCACGTAACCTTATAAGAAACTTTTGAATAATTGTAGTACGTATTCCTTCTCAACATTGCCCATTATTTTCTAAAAAGAGGTATGCAAGAGGGAATCCTAATATATAAATGTATATTTTTCGAAAAGTATTTAATGGACTTTCTCTTTAAATTTTGTAATCAATCTTTAACTCGAATTTAGAAAAGATAACTCATGTTGATGCTTCTACTTTAAAGTATCAAACTTCACAAACGTATCTAAATGATGTTTTTGGTGTTTTCTGGAATTACGCCTTACAAATCTAATAAAAGTTTTGCTAACAAAGACTTCTTCAGAATGATGACCTTGGCAGTGATGAATAATCTTTGATTCTAAATCTTATAATTTGGGATTGTTAAATACGTAGCCAGAGCTTTTGGATGATTTGATTCGCAGCGGTTTTATTGATACCAAAAAGAAGGAGGGTATTAAAATTGCGTAAATGGTTTACACTTCTTTGAGAATACTCGAATTTATATGGCAACAAACTTGATAGTGAAATAAAGCAAGATGATGATAAAAAATATTTGTAAGTAAATAATAAATGAGATCGTTCAACAAAATTAATGATTAAATATTAATAAAATTGGCAATTGCAAAAGGAAATTCTCGAAATTCCAATCGTAAGTTATTTCAAGAAAGCCTTAATCATGTTTTTTTTTATCATGAAGAATATATTTATGTTAAAATATTGTTAGAAATAAAACAAGGTCAACTTATCCTTTTGGTTTATTATGAATTTTGAAATTTCTGATGGATGAGACTCAAAACTTAATTCCAACTAAATACTGAAACATCTATAGACGAATTTGGAGAACAAATGATTAATATAAAATTGTTACGACAAATCGTGATGATAAATTATTTTAACATTTCGATGCAGCTGTTTCCAAAAAGAAACTTTAAGTTTTTGTGACCGACCGTCTCTCGAGGAAGAAATTGCATAATTGCACAACTTAGAAAACTATTTATCAATCTTCAACATTAACTTGATCTACTTTTCAAATTTTATATCAACATTTGTTCAGATCCTCAAATAACAACATTTTGGACTCACAATAACATGAGCTGTTTTTGGAGATTTTTCATCATATGTAATCAGTTTAAGGAATGGGAAAAACTCAAATGTTCAGACGCATCTTTGCTTTGGAAATCATGTTATAATGTTAATGTTGTAATGGATTCCTACAAAGTCAAAGATTTGTAATTATCTTTCAAAAATTCCTCATTGGATTGAGTTACTAGAACAATTAGAAAATGTTGGAAATTTTCAAAATATTTTAATTAAAGGCGAAATTTATCGAAATCAATTCATATTTTCAAAAATGACTCTTTGAAGCTTTGTTGCCTTGATAAAAATCTTTGATAAGAGAATTATCGAATGCCGAAGATTTTATGGTTTTCTTAAATCAGGTCAAACAATTTTTATTCCTTTTAGGATGAAATTAAAATGGAAACCCTCGCCGATTTTTTGGAAGCGTTTACAAAACATGTTTCAAATCGTGGCGAAGTTACAAAGGAAATAATTAAGAATGCTGTAACAATGGGTCAAATGGGCGATAAATGATTGGTTTCATTAAAATGGATTTACGTACGTGATGAATTTTTTTGCTCAAGTGATAAACATAGCATCTTTATTGATCCAAGTGTGGACATTTTGGTTATAGAATGTTTGAACAAAAATTTCATAAACAAATATGAAAGAATACCTTATATATTTAAAGGATGAACTGGAAGACTGGTAAATATTTATATTTACATTTACTATTTTATTTATTTTTTTAAAATAAAAGGTTAACGTTAATAGTTAACGAGTAATTATTTTAGGCAAATCATCGAGATATTATTTTCTGCTCGTCATTTTATGATTATTTCACTTTAAAAAAATTAGAAAAGAATATGAAGAAGAATACAAATCATTGATTAGTTTGAAACAGTAAGCTCAATTACCATCTCGCAAACAAGGAGATTCACGTGGACTCAAAGAGTATCTTAATCTTCTTGGTGAGATCGGTGACATGCTAATAAGAATTTTCAGAGAAATTCTAAAACAATTGCGTAAAGTCAAAGCTTATGGACAACGTGTAAATTTGAATATCATTATAAAGGGTAAACGCGAGTTCCGAATATTATTAATTCATTATATGCTAATCATGGGTATGTATTTCATAAACCAACAATGGAGGAGCCTACATACATTTAAAAGAAATATAATTTTGTTCAAATAATGGATATGAAAGTAATTATTCTTTATCGCAATTTTAGAATTATTTAAATTTTATAAAATTTAGTTAATCAAATTAGAACCTCAACTAAAGTCATATGAATAAATAAATAATATTTGATTGGTTTGTATCAAGTGCATCTACGAAAAAGTTGATGTAAATTTCATTTTAATTGTATTTGTATCAAATATTGTATTAAACCGGAATTTAAAAGGTCTTTGTATCATTTAAGTAATAATTATATGTTGCAGATATTCTATTGTTTGAGTTGCTGATATGGCACGTGATATTTTATCTGATTGTTACACGATATTGGCATATAATAATGCCACCACTCGAAACATTTCCAAATTTAACTCTCGTTTGCGTAAAGAGTTTTTCAAATTTTTTTAACAAAAAATTGTGTTGTCACAATAAAATATTAAACCAAGTATGTTATTCATTTTGTAGCTTGAAATTTTAATAAAATCGTCCAAACTGTTGTTAAATTTTACATTTTTTTTTTAGATGGAAAACAACAGACAACAAAACCCTCTTGAAACTCCCACACTTCGTCGTGCTGCAGAGGATGATGATGAAGTAATGATAATGCAAGAGTTGGAAGATGAGCAATTACTTTTGATAAACAGTATGATTTTATTCGATGAATTGTATTGTTATATCAACATATTCATAATCCTTGAGGCACTTATCATAATATATTGGCTGGAAAGTTATCAAATAATGTAGATGCTATTTTGTAAAATTGCATTGATGTTGGTTAAAGAATTGGAGAGTTGGTATAAAAAAAGATGTTTTTTCAGTAAATATTTTCAGGAGATTCTGTTGTTTGTATATAAATTTTTTTTTTTGAAGAATTTGTCTAACAAATAAATATTAAATTTATGCGTACAATTATACAAATAAAAATATATCAAATCAAAACAAATTATAATATTCTAATAAAATATCTTTATGAAAATAGAATATAGTTTTCAAATACGAAGATTTTATTATTTAATGGATGGTAGAACGCGCATAGTAGACTTCCTGCTAAGTAAGTCAGGAAGAAAGTATAAACTTTGTTAAATGTTTTCAAAAAGATCATTATTATAAATATACTTATTGAGTTCTTTCTTGGGACTTACAATTTAAATCTTATCATTATAGTATTGCATTTTGATCCGTAATTGATTTAGCTCCCAAGAAAGTATTTTATGACCAAAAAATTTGGGGAAGAAGACCACGCCGTTGGTAACAACCACAACCACAACCACAACCACCACAACCACCACCAACAGCTTATGGGTATGTTAAGAGTCATCTATAACTGCATACATACTGATATACTGATTGCACAGGCGAGTAATCTCTCGCAGATTGTAACAATTTCGATTTTGCGTTTAATTTAGAGCCACTGATATTTAATAGTTATTCGGCACGAAGTGCCGAATAACTATTATATTGGGAAAATCAAATTTGATTCCCAATATTATT